GAGTCACTGGACACCTACTTGGTGTTCACAGAACTGGAAGAGGGTGTTAGAAAAGACAATATATACTTGGTGCCAGGAGGGAAAAATCCTCATAATCTATCTCTCAATAGATCAATAACCTTAACTAACATCCATTGTTTCATATTATTTTGTCTATAGTTTGATTGCTTCAGATACAGATAAACTAATCCCTACTACTCTATTTTCATAAAAAGTGGAAATTAATAGAAGTAGAAATATACAGATCCACATTTTCTTAACTATCATTCCCTAGACCTCCTACACCTACTTCCATTAAGGGGCTTACAGCAGTATTATCTGACCAACTCATGCAACTCAAGATGAACCCTGGCTACGTTACCAGCCGAAAAGCAGAGGCCTGACCTACATAAGTCTCATGAAGTTACACTGGATGACTGCATACATGGATTTAAGTCCTGGCTCAAAATTAACGTACTCCAAGAACATAGGACCTCAGTGCCATCAGAAAGGTCAGACCCCAGGCTTGACACCAGGCCATCAAAACAACATTTTTTGTTTTCCACTAAATTTTCCACTAGCCAGGAGAATGGGGAAATATGTTTTCCCCCTAAAGACAGTAAGACGAGAGCCCAAACCCCAGAATAGGAAGTACTTTAATGAACTGGACAGATACCATGGGAAATTGCAATAAGAATAAAATACAGTTTCAATTACTCCTTTGTTTCATAATTCTCTGAGATGCTAAAGACTTTTCCAATTAGTAGAAGGGGACTTTCCTAGTATCTCCTCAAAAGATAAGAAATCAATAATATTGAATCTTGTAAAATATTTACTTAATTCCCATATTCACTTTTTCCCATCACTCCTTGTTTTAAACTCCCCCAAATAACAGAAGTGCTTGGAACAAGATTAATTTTTCTAAATTAATGAAAGATAGGAAAAAACAATTATAATCTATCTTAATTATCTTAGCCATAACCATATCTTGAAACACAAAAATGTACATAAAATATGAATAAACATTCCTAGATACATTCTACAGGACTTTCCTAAATTAGGTCATAACAATGTTAAAGGTCAAAAAGGCAAAAACACTTTCACTGTTAGTACTAAGGTATGACAGGGCTGCTCAGTAAAACTCCCCATCAATATTAAAGCTCACATTCAGGATATGAGAATCTAAAGTGATGAGGAATGAAATAAATGCTGTGTAGTTGAAAAATGAAGAAAAGCAGGCTTCTGTCTACCAGAGGATAAAGGGGTACATTTAAAGTCCTACTGAGCTTTTATAAAAAGTAAGAGAAGCTAGTTTGGCAAGTATAATACTCCTTTTTCTATAAAGGAAATTCTCACAACAGTCTCCATCCACCAGAGTACAGTAAATTAAAGAAGTTATGTTTTTAACCAGGAGAGTTTTCAAACACAGTACTGATGTCACTTCCTGCCTCGTGTTCTTCGAGAGCTCTTTACTCTCTACAGAATTAAGTAAAAAACCCATTACTATCATGTACACACTATGGGTTCTTCATGACCTATAAACCCACATACCAAAAGAACTCACTATCTCCCCCACACCACATATTCTTGTCCAGGGTTTTCAAAGATGTGTTATTTTTAGGTCAAATAGGTTTGGATGCACAGAATTAAAGCTAAACAGGTTTTCTACCTGCAGGACTCCTCCACATTTTAAATTGGTTAATGTGCCATCAAGCTCCTAGGATTTCCCATGAAATATCCGCAGTGGACTATCACTTCAAATCTATCTTTCACTAATAATCCAGACTCTTTCCTCTCTCTGCACATCATGAAGAAGTATTTGTTTCTGTACTCACTGTTTTCCCACCTACCCCTTGACTCAATGGATCTGGCTTCTGCCTCTGTCCTGCTGCAGTTTTGCAGGGCACCTTTCCTGTGGCCCTCCACCTGACAACTTTGTAGCCTATCTGCCCACTCCCAACCCTACCATATACCTTTCCTCATCATTCTCAGTTAATTCATGTGTTTTCCTTTTTTAAAAAAAAAAGGGCTGTTTTTTGTTTTTCTGTTAAAGATAAAAAATAGAACAAAAGCTTTAAAATAAAAACTATATTCTTATTAATCAAAAGCAACAATCACAAGACTAATATACCATATTTGTTCAAATCCTTTTTTTAAATAAAGGAATAAAATAGATGAAGTATCTTTTGATTTCTAATAACAAATCAATCCTATCTCTCCTCTCCCCAAAGGCAAGCACACTTAAGTCTTATATATTCTTCCTCCATTTTCTTATATGCAGATAGAGGTATGTGTTCATGAATAAAATAATTTTGTATTTTACAAAAAACTTAACACAATGACATCACACAGTAGTGTAACTTACTTTCCTTTTCACTTAAAAAGATTTACCAGTAGTGCCATTCAACAAGATCTACCAATACCAATTTTACCTGCCTATCAATATTCACTCCATTGCTTCTACTGACACCTCCAGTTACTGAAAACTTAGTATGCAGCAGATCCTATATCCAAATGCTTGATATTTACCTTGTTTACCCTTCCCAATCACCCACCATAATGCTCCAAATGCCCTTAGTTGGCACAGGATGGTACATTTTCCAGGTCTGGCCAATCACAAGGCTGTGCCCTTACACCACTGTGCTAAGCAGCGCTCTTACTCTCAACAGCCAACTGAGCACTTTCTCCATGCCAAGTGTGTGTTTGTATAGTATTTCTTCATCCTCTGAACTGCCTATGTGCCAAGCACCACTGATTAACCTCATCTTAAAAATGAAGAAACTCAAGCCTGCAAGGGTACTGGAACCTTGGTGTGAACCACAACCACACAGCTTCATCTACTGGCTAAATCTCAGACTTACTTTTAAAAATAAAAAGTCAGTTTATAATTATACATTTAATAGAAAGAAAGAAAAAAGCAGTCACAGATTCAAATGAGAAAGATGGGCTGGAGTGGAGTGTGAGAGACTTGAATATCCAGGTCAGGAGCACTAGTTGACTGGTTACATGGTACTGCACCAGTGTCACTAGTCCCTGGTAACACAGTATCAAAGCATTCTGGGAAGAGGGAAACTATACTTACTGTCATGGACCTTGTAGCAGTGCCTTTGCAAGCGCTTAACCTCCCACTCCTCCAGCACTCCATGAGTCATCATCAGCTGGAGGAATCGCCGGTGGACATCAGTCATGATGCCCATTCTTCTTGTACTGCTCTGCATGTTTGAAGGAGCTGAAAAACAAGTAAAAGCACACCAAAAGCAATGCTCTAGGTTCTGTACTAATTTACATTAATAAATAGAAACTTGTTACAGTTTTTAAAATCATTTGTCATGCTGAATGGTAGTAAAAAGTGAAAAAGACACAAGTCAGGGGCTAGGCAAATTATTATTTGGCAATGCTGAGAAGTCTGGATTCTGGAGCCAGCCAGAACACTTATATGTATAGCCTGACACACCACTTGGGTCTGTGAAACTGGAAAACTTACATTTCCATGTGGTTCTGTTTTGCATCTATTGACTATAAAATGAAAACAATGATAACATCATCTTGTGTAACACTACTACAATGATTAAATTAGTTACTACTTATAGAAACCTGGTAACAGATTAAATGTTAGCTCTTTTTACTATTCTACATCTCTGAGCCTGAAACTTGGCTTCAGTACTTACCAGATCTATGGCCTTACCAGATTAAATCCCCTGCTCTCTAAAACGGTATCATTCCACAACCACTAAGATCAGAGCTGATAAAAGTAGTATTCAAGCCCCAATCAAAAAGCTTGCTGCTGGTAGCAGTGTCAGGGCTAAGAGTGTGGGTTCAGAACATGACAGGAGGCACCAAGATCTTCATCTAAAAAATCATCTTTAATTGTGTATTAAAAATACAGATTCCAGCCCTCCCTGGTGGCACAGTGGGATAAAGCACAGCACTGAGAATCTAAAGCCGCTTCAGCATGAGTTCGATTCCCTCCTGCCCCGGAGGTGACCACATGGTGTGGCAGACC